GGTACAGTAATTGAGGAAAAACTAGATGAAAGTGCTATAGCAGCAGGAAGGCTGACTTTATTTTTTTGGAACTGTATAATGCAAGGTAAGATTGACAGACACATTATGTACTAGAAAACCTCCTGCTGAGAATGAGGGAGAAATGGCTTTTTTTTAAAAACTGTCCTTTGACTTCTCTAAGGTCATTGATCAGATAAGGTTGCTTCTAGCTATAGAGCATTTCAATGAGGCTTGTCCATTGTGAAAGATTTTCAAAAGAAGAACCAAATCCCTTTTACATCATGTCAGTCCTTCTCCAGGAAGTGATTTAACCTTTCCTACTGTGGAAGCATAGTTACAAATTAAAAGTTTAAATTGATAAAGCACAAAGTTGTTTTAAATATCAAGTTGGCCTTGTGGGTTTGTTTGTTTTTTCTTGGCCAGGCCGGAAGTGATGTAAATCTGCCATTTATTTTCATAAGTAACTTGGCAGGATATTATAAACTTCTATATTCTGCACATAAGGGACAGAAATATAGAGATAGCTCTAAACAACAAGATTTATAGAAGCCCATACCTACTTATACATTGCAGGTTCTGCATTTCCTATGGAATTTAACATTACCAGAGTTAAGGTCTGTTTACTTCACTTCATTTTAACAGTGATTTGCCAGAGTAGAGAGAATGCATGCATACATCTTACCCAGCTTGCTAATATATCTTCTAGCATATCTGACCAAGAACTCCCATGAGATTTGAAGTAATCAGACTTTTCTGATTCTTAAGTGATAAATTATACAGTACCTTTCATAAAGGATCACAAAGTAATTTGAAAGTTTGGTAAGTAGCAGTAACCCCATTCTGCAGACAAAAAAAAAAAAGGCATGGCGATGGTTATACTAGGTAACAGGAAAACCAGAGAGAGGTTTTAGACATGGGATGATCAAGGATGAAGAGACTAATCACTTCACCTACCACTGCTGTGGTACTATGCAGTACTATATGTGCAGCACAATACCATAACAGTTATGACAGAAAAGAGAAAGACATCATTTATTCACTGGAAACTGCAATGGATAAAAATTTCACTTGTGTTAAAAATCAGCCATAATCCAATCTCCCTAGTAGAAGAAAATGATGCACTAGGATAATTAATTAGCCCCAGTCTCTAAGCCCTATGTTTTACGACTCATGTGAAGTGTTTCTTCAAACATCTCCCTACACCTATCATATTGTATTGAGGACATTGGTTTAGTACTAATTCTAGAGGAAGAAATACATCTACTGAATTGCTAATATAATTTCCAGCACAAAGTTTTCCTTGAAGGTTTTGCTATCCAAGTTCTGCTCTATCCCATTGTATAGAAGAATTCTGAAATAAAGGAAGAAGAGTCAAGAAAAAGTTACTAGTCAACCTTTTGTGGTGTTGTAGCGTACATAAGAAAGCAATAGAGATTTGGGAAACATGATTTATAAGAACTGCCATTTACTGGGTCAAACCAAAGGGCACCTTGCCCAGTATCCTGTGTCAAACAGTGGCAGAGAATGGCTGCTGAAAGGAAGAGTAAATAGGGTATGACCAGGGTTTTTCCCCTGGTCTTCTCCCATTTGCAGCCTACTGTAAGAAACTGAATTTAGCTGAAGAAAAAAGGTGAAATTCGTTAGGGTAAATGTAGCAGTGTGGAATTAGGGACAGATCTGGCCCAGTGTTCTGGACACACCTACCAGCACGAGCACCAAGGAGACTTGGACACATTTCAGCAGAGTGAGTGCCTAGCAGGACACCGTTACATATGCTGAGGGGTGTTTGCACCACTGAGGCCACCTCGCACATCTGTGGTTGAAACAAAGTGTCTTTGCACAGAATTCGTACCAATAGTTCCTCATCTTTTAATGAGGACAGGCTGAAAGAACTGGAATTATTTAGTCTGAAGAAGAGAAAACTGAGGTGGGATTGACAACAGTGAAATACTTGAAGGGTAATTATAAAGAGGATAGAGACAGACTATCTTTTGTGGGTGATGATTGTAAACTGCTGCAAAGAAATGTTAGCTGGATATAAGGAAGACATTTCTCACTGTGAGGGTAGTTAAGCGTCAGAACAGGCTGCCCAAGAGAGGTTGTAGACTCTCTGTACTGGGAAGGTTTTAAGAGCTGGTTAGACTAACACATGACTGGGATGACTTAGTTGAGGATGATTTTGCTTTGAGCAGAGGTTTGAACTAGATTACCTCTTGAGGTCCCTTCCAGCTCTACTTTTTTACTGTTCTATGCAGTTTGATTTGAGGTTGCAGTTCCTGGAGATCTCCGTTGGGAGTCAGGACCCCACTGTGTTAGGAGATTATGTGAAGTAGCTATTTGACTTTTTAGTGATGGCTAATAAATACATTTCAGCAG